CTGCAGAAAACAAGATCACTTCCCAACCAGCATAACTTGTGATAACCTAACAATGACATTACAAAAAAAATAGTAGAGACTCATCTTATATACACATACTTGTAAAAATCCAAAATGGAACATGAGCAAATCAAATCAAGTGATATATATAAAAAGGTTAACACAGCACAAGGTGTATTTCAAGAATGGTGCTTTAACATTTGAAAATCAACCAACATAGGATACCACATTAAAGAAAAAAGACTCCTAACTCTGGGAAACGAACTAGGGGTGGTGGAAGGGGAGGAGGGCGGGGGGTGGGGGTGAATGGGTGACGGGCACTGAGGGGGACACTTGACGGGATGAGCACTGGGTGTTATTCTGTATGTTGGTAAATTGAACACCAATAAAAATTAATTTATTAAAAAAAAAGGGAAGAAAAATACCCAGAATCATCTACATAAACTCAGAAAAAGCATTTGATGGAATTCAATACTGATTCAGTATAAGAAATAGTGGCATTAGAAATAGAAAACTTTTCTATTCTGATAAAGAGGATCCTCTTTTTTATAAAAAAAAAAAAAGCTCTCAGTAAATATCATAATTAATGATCAAATATCAAATGTTTCTTCAAAAAGTCAAGAATCAGAAAAAGGATGCCTACTATCTCCATTTTCACTCAACATTATACTAGAGGTCCTAGCTAATGCAATAAAATGAGATAATGTAATAAAAAAAAAATCAAAGGATTTCAAAAAGATTAAATCACTGTTTGCAGACAACATGACTATTTACACAGGAAATCCAAAAAAATGCACATATAAACTATTAGAAATAAGTGAATTTTGAAAATGAATTATGCAAAATTGCTAGACACAAAATCAACATTAAAAACGTATACTATAATTTTATATACTCAACAACCATACAGAAAATAAAATCTGGGAAAAAACATAATGATACAAAAAAAATCCAATACCTAAAAATAAAGTAAGAAATGTGTAAGATCTGTACATTGAAAACCATCAAACAGTATGGAAAGAATTAACAAAAAACAAATGTAAGATAACCATTACCATGGATTACAAAACTTAATATTGTAAAGATTTCAGTTCTCCCTAAATCAATCCATACATTTAATGAAAAACAAAAAACAAAAAAACAACCTAAATTCCAGTAAGGTTTTTTGTTCTCTTGGTGAATACTGACACTTGGTTTTATTTGGAAAGAAAAACAGCAAAAACAACCACTAAGTCATACACAACATCATGGTAGAAAATTTGTTACCAAATATTAGAGTAACTAAAATAGTGTAGAACTAAGTGAAGATATAAAATAAGCAAAGGAGCAAAACAGAGTTCAGAAACAGCCCCACAGGGCTCCTGGGTGGCTCAGTGGTTGTCTGCCTTTGCCTCAAGGTCTTGAGATCAAGTTCTGAATCAGGCTCCCTATAGGGAGCCTACTTCTCCCTCTGCCTATGTCTCTGCCTCTCTCTGTATCTCTCATGAATAAATTAATAAAAGCTTTAAAAAAGAAAAAGAAAAAAAGAACAGCCCCATGTGTGTAGAATTACATGATTCAGGCAAAGGCAACCCTTGTCATGCAGTGGAGGAAAGATGGTTCTTAGAGCGTACTGGATGAGCCAAATATTTATCAGGAAAACAGATCGTGACCCCAGCACCTCAAATCATATACAAAAATAAATTCCAAATGAGTAACAGATCTAAAACATGAAAAGTAAAAAAAGCATAAAAATAATCATTATGGTCTTATGATAGGTAAATATTTCAATACAACACAAACAGCATTAGTCAAAGGAAAAAAAGAAGGTAAACTGGAAAACATTAAAAAAAAGATTGAAAAAGTGAAAAGGCAAGCCATGATATGAGAGAAGTTACTTGTAATGCACATAATGAACCAAAACATTTATAACATATTATATACAGAATAATAATTAATAAGAAAAAGACAGGCACAGCCCACTAGGGAAAAAAACTGCAAAGGAAGTACACAGGTTAAGTCATAAAAGAAGATATCTATAAAAATATGAAAACGGTGATCAACTTCATCAAACATCACAGAAACTTAAAATGTTACTTTTGCTCACCTACCAGAATAGCTAAACTACTATCTGAAGATTTAGAGCCACTGTAATTTCCACACAATGTTAGTATAGATTGTAAATTAGCACAATCACTAAAAGTCATTTTTTCTAAAAACTATTACTATTAAAGCTGATCACAGGTATACTCTTTGACTTAGCAACTGTATACCTTGGTATATACCTAAGTATTCCTGTGTCACATGTAAGAGTATTCAAAACAGCATTCTGTAACAAGTCTCAACATGGAAAACCCAAAAGTCTAGTTCCAATAGAAAAAAATAAGTATATACATTATGTTCTCTCCACACAATGAATTATACATCAATGAAAATGTACAAAATACATCTACATATATACCCACATGCAACAACAATATTAATTTCACAAACATAATGTTGCCAAAGGAACATATGCTGTCCACATAAATTCAACAACAGGCATAATTAATCTATGTGTGAGAATTTCAGTTAATGGCCTTCCTTCCCTAGGGAAGGGAGATAATAGACTGGGAGACAGGACAAAGAGTTTCCAGGGTCGTGCACTGAAATATGCTGGCTACATGGTAATGTATTTTTTTGCCATAACTCACTCAGCCACACTTAGGATCTGTGCGGTTTTTTTTTAATACAAAAATTTATTTTTTCAATAAAAATGTATTACACCAAGAAGGACAAACCCAAGATTTCACCAGAAACTCCCAAATGGAAGTGAGTGAAGTGAAAGCTTCCAAGTAGTAGTGAAGTGAGGTGAGATGAGGCAGCTCTTAAAAGTGCATGATAGTGTCACTCCCAAGGTTTTCATTCACTGTTCTAATGACTTTTATCTTACCAGCTCAAAAAATCCAATCATCAAAAAACTATTTGCTATTCCCTCCCTCAGTATTGCTCCCTAAAACTACCCCAATCAGAGGCTGGTCATTCTTCCATGAAGTTTCCCATCACCTAAGCTCCTTCTACTTGCCATGTAGTTAAATCTCTTCTATAGGCTATATATTTTTAATGAGTTTCCAGTGCTTAACAGTCTCTCTCAGATATAGCAGGTATTCACATTTGGATTAATAAATGACATAAATTCTCTTCTGCAGAGAAACCTTTTATTCCCCCATTTTAATGCAAGAATAATGAAACTTTTAACTCAGAATCCACAAATTCAAAATGACAAATTATGTCTGTGCCTAACCAAACCTAAAAAATAAATTGTCCAACTACCTCTTCTGTATGTTTTCTGCATTCTTTGCCAAAATCATCTGAGAAGAAATTCAGACACCCTTGCCCCATTTGGCAGCTTGGCAAGAAGACGACTTAGGTAAATGTAACATTATTAACAGGCTAATTCTAGTTGTTGAGTTACAGTGGCCAGGTCTTTTAGTAAGATAATTTCCTTAACTTAAAAGTTCCATCACACAGTCACTTACATATTCTAGCTCCTTTTTCTCTTTAAACATGTAGGGTCTTTTCCACTGCTAGATCCAGTGTATCTATGCTGAATTTAAACACAACTCTCTATGAGATAATGAGAATTCAGGGAATGTTATGTACTTTGCTAGTTCTCTGCTTTTATGTTACTCCCTTAATAAACCCTATTTTACATTTATATTGCATGTGTTCATGAAGCAAGTCCCCCATGCCTTCTCTACCTGTCACAATCCACAGATTTATGAAAGGACATTTACTTACAACCTTGTTTAGAGTCATTCCTTTGGAATGATGGTTATTTTATCAGACTCCCCTATTTTATCCACCTTCATAAAGAATCATACTGTGTGAGCCTGACACTCTAGTTAAACAATCTTCATGAGATGAAACAGAGTTATCTTTTAGTTAGGTCCACTGATAACTCCAATCACTTCCACTAACTTCTCTACCAACTACTCGGCTTAGTTTTTTTCTCCAATTCTATCCACATTACCAGGTGAATTACTACTCAGACTGAAGAATTTAACTTTAGTACTGTTCTATTCCTGGTAAGCTTTCAGAAACCAGCTTTTCTGAAAATTTCTCCTGATAGGCAACCTTTCCAGAGACACCATCTCTCCTTCCTGCATATGCTGTGACTACCAGTTTATTTACAATATTCTACAAAACTGTTTTTCCTTCTTTCCTTTAAACCAAGAGCTTGACAAACGTTTTCTTAAAGGGCCAGAGAGTAAAGATTTTAGTCTTATGGGCTGTACTTAATTATGCTGTTATAATGTGGAAGCCTCACAGACAATATGTAAACAAATGCATATGGCAGTGTTCTAAAAATAATTTATTTAGAAAAACAGTCAGCCAGCCGATGGACTATAGTTTGCCAATCCCTGCGCTAAACTCTTACAACTTCTGGTCTTCATATATCAGTGTTATAACTATCTTGAATTTGTAAGGGCTTACTGACATTGGTACTGAAAATTAAGTTCAATATATTTTATCAGTTAAAACTGAGATCAATACATAAATGCTCTAGGGATATATGTGATAATGAGTTATAAAAAAATTCTTATTTCTTAGTTAACCAGAAAATTTAAGTGACCCAAACACATTCACTGATAACTGTAGTTAACTTAGGTATTACCTAATTATGAAAATAAAGATGATCATTTACAATAATAATATGTTAAAAACTAACAAACATAATCAAATGAACGGAAGAGTAAGTTTATTATGATAAATCTACACAATGGACAGTAGTGGTGGGACTACAGTGACCTTTTTCTGTGTTTTCTATAATTAACAAGTATGATTTCTATAACAAGAAAAAAAAATTCTTTAAAGCACACGATGAGCTAAAAGTGTTAAAATTTTATTTAGTTTGGAAATAAAAATATTTAGACTTGAAATTAAATTTAAGAAAAATCCAACCATTCTCTCCTATGCTCCTCTTTAAAAAAAAAATTTCTTTTTACATCAATTATAAATAAGTTAAAATTTTCATTTACCTGTCGGTTCCTTTCATCCATTATGCGTGTGATTTGTATTTTCTTCCGCCCCATTTTCAGTCACCTTTCCTTCCTTATATTCCAAATATTTAATTCAAAATTATTTTTCTTCAATACCCTAATGCATCGTACACAGCTTCTATTATTTCAGCTTCTAGTCCAAGGGCTACAGCTGAAATTTTCTATAAGATCTAAAAGAAAACACAAATTAGAAAATTTAAGTTCTCTAAGTTTGCAAATCATGAAAATGTTACACAAATTTCAAGTCTGCTTCTATGCTGTATATAGGCACCCTTATTAGTTAAAATTCCTGGTTATATAAAATTGGTAATTAAGTTGAAGTTTTGTTAACTTTATCTCTTAAACATCTTTTGAATCTTTTTGTGCCACTATAACTGGTTGAAAGAGTGCAATTATAACCTTTGAGTTTTTCCTCAATGAATATAATAATAGCAACAACAAGAGCCAACACTTACTGGCATTTTTCTATGTGCCAAGCACTTTTTTCTACATACCTGGTATGTCTTAACTCACTCAATCCAAAGTGCAATCTTTTTAGTTATAATTATCATTTCCATTTTATAAATAAGAATACTTAGGCAGAGAGATACTAAATAATATGTCCAAGATCACACACACAGTGAAGGGCAGAGCTTGGAATATGAACTCAGGGAGTCTGGCTCCAGAATTTCTCCTCTTTAACATTACAGAATATCCTTAAAAGCTTCTGATGGCCTCTATGTCAAAGGATGAACTAATAATCTGGTAACCCCAATCTGCCTTTACAAACCATTCTTGCAAACTGCCCTAGTCACCACCAAAATTACTATCTATGAATCCACAAAGGCACCATATGATTTCATAATAAAATCCACTTAAATGAAATACCATTCCTTTTAGCCATTTAATAAAATCCACCTAATCAATCAAGATTCATGTAAACCATAGTATCTTACTTGTGGATATGTGTATAATAAATTCCAAGTAATTTTCCTCTGAGATCCTTCAAAAACAGGATTTTTTTATTCCATTTATCTCCGTAATTCAGTGACTGGCAATGATACAATTTGTCATGTTCTTAATGACAGTAGTGTTTTCAAACTCATATGGTAAAATATTTACAAGGAAGACAAATGCTAAAACATTCACAAATTCTCAGGACAATTTTATTAAAGTATTTTTAATGTTGTACATGTATAGTCATAAAACTTTAAAAGTACTATGCAAATCCCTGTTTGATTAAATCTGGCTTTTGCTCAAAAGCAATGAGTTATTCAATTCTTATCAGTACCATCATTACCATAAGGATGGCATTGCTTATATATATTCATGTTTTCATTTCTTCATTCATATAAACATTAACTGAACATCTACAGTCTGAACTGAACATCTTCTATGTAGAGTATCATGTCATCGGCGAAGAGGGAGAGTTTGACTCTTCTTTGCCAATTTGAATGCCTTTAATGTCTTTTTGTTGTCTGATTGCTGAGGCTAGGACTTCCAGTACTATGTTGAATAGCAGTGGTGAGAGTGGACATCCCTGTCTTGTTCCTGATCTTAAGGGAAAGGCTCCCAGTGCTTCCCCATTGAGAATGATATTTGCTGTGGGCTTTTCGTAGATGGTTTTAAGATGTCAAGGAAAGTTCCCTCTATCCCTACACTCTGAAGAGTTTTGATCAGGAATGGATGCTGTATTTTGTCAAATGCTTTCTCTGAATCTAATGAGAGGATCATATGGTTCTTGTTTTTTCTCTTGCTGATATGATGAATCACATTGATTGTTTTACGAGTGTTGAACCAGCCTTGCATCCCGGGGATAAATCCCACTTGGTCATGGTGAATAATCTTCTTTTAATTGGTCACCTACTTGCAAAAAATGTACTTCCAAACACTGAACTAGGCACAGAGGGCAAAATAGTAAAAACAAAACGGCATGATTTCTGATCTCATAAAATTCACAGTTTAGTAGGGGCAAATAGACATTAATCAAACTATCATATAAGTGAGTCTGTATGAATTAAAATTAAGAAGTCATTTATCTGATCTAAATTTATTACTTAGGGAGGGTTGCCCTGGGAATATGCCTCATATCCAAACCCAAGTATAAGGGTGTATATTCTAGACAGAGAGAATAGAAAGTAGGTGGAAGCAAGGAACCCTAGAGAAACTGAAGGATGGCTAGTCACTGGTGAGAACCAATCAAACGAGCAGCTGTGCTATAGAATGTTTTTGTTTCTCGCAAGACTGCAATATAAACCAAGAGAGGGGCACCTGGGTGGCTCAGTGGCTGAGCAACAGCCTTCGGCTCAGGGCATGACCCTGGGGTTCTGGGATCAAGTTCCCTATCAGGCTCCTTGTGAGGAGCCTACTTCTCCCTCTCCCTAGGTCTCTGCCTCTCTCTCTCTCTGCCTCTCTCATGAATAAATAAATACAATCTTTAAAAAATATATACATATATGTAAAATAATATATACATATATATAAACCAACAGAGTCAGCTTATTCAAATCATGCTCCCTAATAGATCACATCACATCCAATTCCCATTATAAAAACCTGCACTATAGTAGGTAACATAAATATTCATACATTTCAATAGTGACTAAAAGATATATGCATCATATTATCTTTTAATCTGAAAAATTCTGAATGCTAAACCATATCTTAGTATTTCGCTTTGGACAATGGCTGAGTAGGTTACTCCAATTCTTTTTTTTTTTTTTTTGGTTAAGATTTATTTATTTATTTTAGAGAGTGAGAGAGCATGAGTGAACCCAAATACAGGGAGGGGCAAAGGGGGAGAATCTTCAAGCAGACTTCACACTGAACATAGAGCCTGACTTGGCACTCAATCCCACAACCCTTCAGATCAAAACCTGAGCCCAAACCAAGAGTCAGATGATTAATAGAGTGAAGCAACCAGGCACTCCAAACCAACCTTCTTCTAAGAATGAAAAAACAAGAAAAGTAATCTGCTCAAAACTACTGGAGAACTTTCAAGACAGAACTGAAGCGCTGAGCTTTGGAAGAAACAGGTAAGACCACACTTCAGACTGATTTTTCCCCCTAGTCATTAGAAGATTCTTAAAACTTTAGCTGAGCCCCACAGAATGCTCTCTGCTCAGTAGGGAGTCTGCTTCTCCCTCTTTCTCTCCATCTGCCCACAGCCAACTCAAGCTCACTTGCACAGCTCTCTCTCCCAAAAAAGTAAGATCTTTAAAATATATATTTTTTAAAAAACAAAAAACATTGGCTGAGAGACTGAGAAGCTAAACAGAGCTTTCAACAGCTCTATAGGTGGGACACAAAAATAGATTCAGGACCAAGAAACAGCCCCAGTAAACACACCAGGAACCTGGAGGGAATTCAAAGGACTATACCCTAAGCATAAAGGTAAACTAGAAATAGACCAGGCCATGGAGGAGGAGAGTATAGCTTCAGATCACCTCAATCCCTCATTAGGTTAAGGTAACTTGGCCTACCTAGTATTACTAGCCTAGCTGCATATCAGTAAAAACTTCTGAAAAAATGTTAGCAAAAGTAAATCTTACCAGCAAAATATAACATCATCTAGAAATTCAAATGATCTTATAATTTTCATACAAAATGCCTAAAAATAGGGCACCCAGGGTGGCTCAGAGGTTTAGTGCTGCCTTCAGCCCAGGGCGGGATCCTGGAGACCCAGGATCGAGTCCCACATCAGGCTCCCTGCATGGAGCCTGCTTCTCCCCTCTGCCTGTGTCTCTGCCTCTCTCTCTCTCTCTCTCTCTCTCTCTCTCTCTCTCTGTGTGTGTGTCTCTCATGAATGAATGAATGAATGAATGAATGAACGAACAAATAATAAACAAAATGCCTCTTTGAAAGAATTAATAAGATAGATAAACCATTAGCCAGCCTTATTAAAAAGAGAGAGAAGACTCAAATTAATAAAATCATGAATGAGAAAGGAGAGATCACTACCAACACCAAGGAAATACAAACGATTTTAAAAACATATTATGAACAGCTATATGCCAATAAATTAGGCAATCTAGAAGAAATGGACGCATTCCTGGAAAGCCACAAACTACCAAAACTGGAACAGGAAGAAATAGAAAACCTGAACAGGCCAATAACCAGGGAGGAAATTGAAGCAGTCATCCAACACCTCCCAAGACACAAGAGTCCAGGGCCAGATGGCTTCCCAGGGGAATTCTATCAAACGTTTAAAGAAGAAATCATACCTATTCTACTAAAGCTGTGTGGAAAGATAGAAAGAGATGGAGTACTTCCAAATTCGTTCTATGAGGCCAGCATCACCTTAATTCCAAAACCAGACAAAGACCCACCAAAAAGGAGAATTACAGACCAATATCCCTGATGAACATGGAAGCAAAAATTCTCAACAAGATACTAGCCAATAGGATCCAACAGCACATTAAGAAAATTATTCACCGTGACCAAGTAGGATTTATCCCCGGGACACAAGGCTGGTTCAACACTCGTAAAACAATCAATGTGATTCATCATATCAGCAAGAGAAAAAACAAGAACCATATGATCCTCTCATTAGATTCAGAGAAAGCATTTGACAAAATACAGCATCCATTCCTGATCAAAACTCTTCAGAGTGTAGGGATAGAGGGAACTTTCCTTGACATCTTAAAACCATCTACGAAAAGCCCACAGCAAATATCATTCTCAATGGGGAAGCACTGGGAGCCTTTCCCTTAAGATCAGGAACAAGACAGGGATGTCCACTCTCACCACTGCTATTCAACATAGTACTGGAAGTCCTAGCCTCAGCAATCAGACAACAAAAAGACATTAAAGGCATTCAAATTGGCAAAGAAGAAGTCAAACTCTCCCTCTTCGCCGATGACATGATACTCTACATAGAAAACCCAAAAGCCTCCACCTCAAGATTGCTAGAACTCATACAGCAATTTGGTAGCGTGGCAGGATACAAAAACAATGCCCAGAAATCAATGGCATTTCTATACACTAACAATGAGACTGAAGAAAGAGAAATTAAGGAGTCAATCCCATTTACAATTGCACCCAAAAGCATAAGATACCTAGGAATAAACCTAACCAAAGAGGTAAAGGATCTATACACTAAAAACTATAGAACACTTCTGAAAGAAATTGAGGAAGACACAGAGATGGAAAAATATTCCATGCTCATGGATTGGCAGAATTAATATTGTGA